AGCCTCGGGGGAGCCAGACAGCCTGGTACGACTGCTCGGCACGGGCCCGCTCCTCCGCCCCGTGAGGGAGAACAAGCTGCAGGGGGCCTGGGACGGTCCCTTCAAGGTCGTCAGACAGGTCGATGAGGTCAGGCACGCAGCGGAGCTGTCCAGCCGGGCGCGCCGCCAGCGGGTGCACCATGCCAGCGTGGAACAAGGAGGAGCGGTGCTGGCTGTGGGTGGGCAGTGGGAGAAGGGGGCCCCCTCCTCCCAGAAGCAGAGGCTGGTGCCTAGCTGGAGACAAGTCCTCTCAGACCAGCAGGCAGAGCTCAGAGGTGCTGCGTTCCTACCAGCAGCTGTTCTTCCAGCCTGGGGCCTGGAGAGGGAGGCTGGGGACATGCTGGCTCTTGGGGTGATCCAGACTTCTCCAGCCCTGGGCTTTCCCACTAGTGCTGGTCCCCAAAAAGGATGGAACAATCCGGTTCTGCGTGGCCTATCGCAAACTCAACACCAGCACCGTGCCCGAGGCCGACCCCACGCCCAGGACTGATGAGATCCTAGGCAAGTTTGGGGGCAGGGGCCCGGTTCTTCATTACTATGGACCTGACCAAAGGGGACTGGCAGGTGCCCTTGGACCCGGAGGCCTGGGTGAAGTCCCTTCAGCACCCCAATAGGGCTCTTTGAGTTCCTGGGCCTGCCTTTTGGCCTCAAGGGGGCCTGGCCACCTCCAAAGCCTGGTGGATCAGTGGCTGAGGGCAGATGGAGGACTTTGCTCTGGCCGATATTGACGATACCTGTGTCTGTAGCCAGACCTGGGCGCGGGGAGGCCGGGCCAGTCCCCATTTTCGCGCCCAGCCGCTCCCTGACAGCCCGGCGAGGGGGTCTGGACCGAGGGCTCTCGGGGCACTGAAAGAAGCCCTCAGCCGGGGCCTGCTGCTGGTCCCGTGTCACAGGGCGGGCGCGGGGCCGATGCAAACTGACCCCATCGTGCACCTGAGCCAAGAGCTGCTGCCCGGGAGCAGCACGACAGGGCCAGAAGGACGCCTGGCCCTGGGGTGGGCCCCTGAAAAGCTGCAGCCCTGTCTGTTTGGGCGGCATTTCCCAGTGTCACTGCCCCCCCCCGGCCTGGCTGCACCAGAGGAAGGGGCCAAGGCCAAGCTGCTGAGACGGAGCCTGCTCCTGCAGGACTGCGCCCCGGAAAGGGCAACGCCAACGTCACAGCTGGTGCTCTGTCCCGGAGCGGGGCCGAACTGCCCCGGGTCACTGGCGGAGGGACCCTGCTCAGGGCGGTCTCCAAGGGGCGCTGTGAGGAAGCGGGGAGCTCTGGGGTCAAAGGGGGGGGGGTGCACACTGGGGCTCAGGGCCCGGAAGTTCCTGGCTAAACGTGCACAGGGACCCTGGCCTGGTGCCTGGTGCCCGGTACCCGGCCCCACGCAGAGGACACGGCCGGTTCCGGGGGCTGCAGAGGGGACCCCAGCGACCGGCCCCGCTGACCCCAGCGAGGGGAGAACGCTGGAGGGGAGGGAGGCGGAGAAGAGGGGCCCAGGTGACCCTCTTACCTGGGGAGAGACACTGGTCGGGGGAGGGGCTGTTGCTGGGGGTATTGGAGGCTCTGCTGGGAGACTGGGGCTGTTTTTGGGGGACTGAGAGCAGAGCCGCAGGACTCACCTGGCTGCAGGGGAGACTGACGCGGGCTGAGGGCCCAGGCCTGAGGGTCCTTTGCTGGGTTCAAAGCTCCATAGACCCTCCTGTTGGGTGCTGGCTGAGTCGCTCTGGTCTGGAGAACAGGGGGCGCTAGTCCCTCTGGGAGGGGAGGCCCCAGGGGTCCAGAGGGAGGGGACCCCCCAAAGGGGCTCACGGTGGAGGCAGGCGGCTGGAGGCCCTGAGAGGCGCCATCCCGGAGGCAGAGGGGACGGACCCCCAGGTGACAGGGGCCCCCCAGGAGAGGGTCACTGCACTGGAGGGGACTCCCTGAGAGTTCTGGGGACGGACAGGCCGAGCGTGGGCACGACCTGAGCGCCGTGACGTGTACACACGTGCGTGAGCCCGTACACGTATGCACACGCGTGCATGGGAAAGGGGCCGCGTCTCTCTCCTACCTGCTGGGCGTCGCCCTCGGTGTAGGGCAGCTTCGTGGACACGTGGAACATGATCTCCTTGCTGCGGAAGGCGCAGTAGACGGATTCTGTTCCAGTCTGGCCATGGGTCACGTCCAGCCCCCCACGGAACCTGCCACCGGAGAGACACGTCCCCAGGGCGGGGGGCCGGCCAGGCTGAGCCGTTCGCAGATCCCGGGCCGGCCGGGACAAGCGGTGCCCCGAGCGCCCACCTCACTCACCCCTTGAAATCCTGCAGCTGCACTTTCTGGCCCAGGAAGTCGAGGAACTCCACGAAGGCCGGGCTCTCCTCGGTGGTGCTGAACAGCTCCTCCTCGGAGGTCTGCAAGAGCCAGCGAGGCCGGGCGTCAGACAGGCCGGGCCCTGCCCCACTTGGCAGGAGCCGGGGCTGGGCCTGGCCAGACAGCCTGGTGGGAGGGAAGCTGGGTCTCTGAGTAGCTGCACTTTCTGGCCCAGGAAGTCGAGGAACTCCACGAAGGCCGGGCTCTCCTCGGTGGTGCTGAACAGCTCCTCCTCGGAGGTCTGCAAGAGCCAGCGAGGCCGGGCGTCAGACAGGCCGGGCCCTGCCCCACTTGGCAGGAGCCGGGGCTGGGCCTGGCCAGACAGCCTGGTGGGAGGGAAGCTGGGTCTCTGAGTGGGGGCAAAGGCAGAGCTCCGGCCCGCCCCGCCCCCGCAGCACCTAGCATGGCTCCTGGGGGGAGCCAGCACAAGCCTTCCCCCACCAGCCTGTCTGTGCCCCCCACTACAGCAGCTCTGAACCTGACTGCTGGGGAAACTGAGGCACGGGGCCATGACTTGCAAAGGGGTGCCAGAGAAACAGCAAACACAGGGCCCGGCCTTAGCCATTAGGCAGCACTGCCCTCTCCTCCCCCACGCTAAGTAAACCAGTGTAAACGCTGCTCCGGGCAGCACTGCCCTCTCCTCCCCCACGCTAAGTAAACCAGTGTAAACGCTGCTCCGGTGTAGCCGGGTGGTGCCTCCAGGCGCCACTGGAGAGCGCGGCTCCTGGGTCCCCGGCTGCAAACAGAGCCA